TTTCTCTAACCAATTAGTAAGACATTCACGTAGACAGCTCTTAACATCATCTCTGTTATTCTTTGTAATGATATCCAGTGTAGCAGGAGATAGACCAAAAAACAGACCAAGCTCATAGTATGTGGTCCCTGAGTAACCATGTCTTTTGAGTAATTGAAGTACCTCAGCAAGATCAGTAACTATTAAATAATTGTATTTAGTATAAGAAATAAGTAACTAAACATACTTTGCAGTTGATTTGTATTATCTGCTGGTCCAGGAGAAGCCATTGAGCTAAAGTTTGGCAAAAAAGGGCGGGGCTCAATAACAACGCCCACGTGATTTGACCTAATTAAAAGTAGGAGGGGCTAAGCCACCCTAAATAAAATGCAAAAGCAATTTTTTGTGATTGAGGTACTAGTCTCATTTTTGTAAACTACTAATTCTATTTTATGTACTATTAGTGTCTATACATTTATCAGTAGTACTGGAGTAACTGATGGATCAGTGATACAATCATTGATACAAGTTATGACTGATGAGAATTACCAGCTCACTGGACCCTGACTCTAAGAAGTTAGTCTATAATTATTATTTATTTATACTACTGTATGGGTACAAAATATCACGTGGGATTAATTGTCATTATTTTTGTTGTGTGAAGTTTTAATCCAGTGAAATTCTTCATATGGCCACACCTTATAGTGCTTTAAATAGAAAATGTGAAATTAAAACACTACAAGTTAATAATATTCCCCAATAATTTAACTCCACAAATATTTGTACCAGTACAGTATCTGATATTGTTATTGCTGTTGTATGAGGAGGAAGGAGAGAGAGAGGGGGGCTATAGCCTTGGGTATTTTTCAGAATTTTGGCATTTTCTTAAAATGGCTGCAACTCAAAAAATTGAAATCGGAATCAACTCAAACTTTCTACACAGCATAAGGACATTAATATGTATCTGAAAATGTAATAAAAATTTGAGGTGACTTTGGAGCCATTTTTTGACAAAAAACTATGGGCTATTAGTAACGCGGTAGCGTTACTAAGTAGGATTCACCCCACTTCAAAATGGCTGCCATGACTTTTGCAGCCTTGCTATACTAGGAAAACGAGCTCCTATGCTTACCAGACTTTATAGAGGACCTTATCTTGACCAGAGGACTCCATTGGTACCACTAGTGTGGCTCTAAACCTTGTCTGAGAGGAAAGTCAAAAATCCGGAAAACGGCCGTTTTGTTCAGCCACCTTTTTTCATCTTCATCATCATCATCATCATCATCATCATCAAGTCCTGTCAATCCAGTTGTCGGTCTGTATCTCAACCTTGCTTGGTGATAGAAGGCTAATTCTTACACCATTCTACTCCAATAATGCATGCGCAGGTCCCTATTCTTTATGACAAGTCTCCAACAAAGAAAGAAGTTGTACTGTCACTGCTGGATCGGGCCCATCTTAGCTGCATGCCGCCATTTTATTAATTAAAGAAGCATGTGCTCCAAAATTTGGGTGTGGTGATTGTGGTCGCGCATGTTCAGATCTGCAGCTCTGGAAGAAGCAAGCAAATGAAGCTATAAATCAACTGCAACACTTCGTGGAGGTTTCCAGCTAAGAGAAGGTATTATTAATCTTGCATACTATTCTTTTATTAAGTGTGTAATGAATTATTTTATTTCAAAAAACAAACAATCAAATAATG